AGAGTATACAGTCATAGTATCTGAAATGTGCCCTGTCTGGAGTATACACCTTGTGTATGCCGTCAGCGTTTACCTGTCACAGTATTTGAAATCTCTATATGTTGTGTGAACCTAAAGTATATCTGACAAAGTATTTGAAACCTCTATATGCAGTGTAAACCTAAAGTATACCTGTCACAGTATTAAAAACCTCTACATGCAGTGTAAACCTAAAGTATATCTGTCACAGTATTAAAAACCTCTACATGCAGTGTAAACCTAAAGTATATCTGTCACAGTATTAAAAACCTCTACATGCAGTGTAAACCTAAAGTATATCTGTCACAGTATTTGAAACCTCTACATGCAGTGTAAACCTAAAGTATATCTGTCACAGTATCAAAAACCTCTACATGCAGTGTAAACCTAAAGTATATCTGTCACAGTATTAAAAACCTCTACAAGCAGTGTAAACCTAAAGTATATCTGTCACAGTATTTGAAATCTCTACATGCAGTGTAAACCTAACGTATGTCACAGTATTAAAAACCTCTACATGCAGTGTAAACCTAAAGTATATCTGTCACAGTATCAAAAACCTCTACATGCAGTGTAAACCTAACGTATATCTGTCACAGTATTTAAAACCTCTACATGCAGTGTAAACCTAAAGTATATCTGTCACAGTATTAAAAAACATGCAGTGTAAACCTCTACATGCAGTATCAAAAAACCTAAAGTAGTGTAAACCTAACGTATATCTGTCACAGTATCAAAAACCTCTACATGCAGTGTAAACCTAAAGTATATCTGTCACAGTATTAAAAACCTCTACATGCAGTGTAAACCTAAAGTATATCTGTCACAGTATTAAAAACCTCTACATGCAGTGTAAACCTAAAGTATATCTGTCACAGTATTAAAAATCTCTACATGCAGTGTAAACCTAAAGTATATCTGTCACAGTATCAAAAACCTCTACATGCAGTGTAAACCTAAAGTATATCCGTCACAGTATTAAAAACCTCTACATGCAGTGTAAACCTAACGTATATCTGTCACAGTATTAAAAACCTCTACATGCAGTGTAAACCTAACGTATATCTGTCACAGTATTAAAAACCTCTACATGCAGTGTAAACCTAACGTATATCTGTCACAGTATTAAAAACCTCTACATGCAGTGTAAACCTAACGTATATCTGTCACAGTATCAAAAACCTCTACATGCAGTGTAAACCTAAAGTATATCGGTCACAGTATTAAAAACCTCTACATGCAGTGTAAACCTAAAGTATATCTGTCACAGTATTAAAAACCTCTACATGCAGTGTAAACCTAAAGTATATCTGTCACAGTATTAAAAACCTCTACATGCAGTGTAAACCTTAAGTATATCTGTCACAGTATCAAAAACCTCTACATGCAGTGTAAACCTAAAGTATATCTGTCACAGTATTTGAAACCTCTATATGGAGTGTAAACCAAAAGTTTATCTGTCCCAGTATTTGAAACCTCTATATTGAGTTTAAGCCTAGAGTATATCTGTCACAGTATCTGATAGCTGGGTGGCCCCCCCTCTGCCTCTGTTTAACTCTACAAGACTGCTGTCCTGCTTTTACGGTAATTTCATAATCTGCCGCTTAACCTAATTTTCGGTACTTGGCGTACTACGTGAAAAAATGCGTCAAATGCAAGAATGTCAATTCTTGATTGACTGACTCATTCATTCATTTATTCCTGTCAGCATTTGCAATGAGGTGGCCAATATTTTTCTACAGTATTCATGTCCCTGAGACAAATCATGCATGAGTTCGCAAATTAACAATGGAGGCAAAAGGCCACATTCTTGAAAACAGCCTGCCAACCTCAGGCACACTACGCACACGTAAAGCAGACAAATTTGTGTCAACCAACAGTATGTAGCTCAAAGTTTTCAGCGTTTTGAAGTGACACAAAGTAATGAAACATCAGACTTATAATGAATCATCCATTCATGCTGCTTATACACAGGGCCAGTTTTATATGTTTTGGGGTCATTAAAAGCATCAGAAAGCCAGGAAACCCAGTCTTTCCACCCTCTAAAATATTGGACTGTCCTGTGACGTCATCTGAGGTAAGATATTAATAAAGAACCTGCCTCCATTCAAATGCAATATACTGAATCCAGTTAATCTAAAATATGCACTGAACACCCAATGACAAAACTGGCAGCTTAAGTTTAAAATAAAAAACAGTTTAAAACATCAAGAGTCCAAGGTATGAAACAGTTGACTAACATTTCTCTTTTAGAGGATTGTAAGCATCATAGATATTAAGACAGACTATAAACTCATCTGCAATCTGTTAAAAATTCCAACTGAGTTTTATTATGAAATGTCTATTACTGTCCGGTAAACATGGCCTAAAAAGTAATAAAAAAATTTAGCACACGATCAAGTGTTAAGATTTCAACACTATAGTATTTCACTATAGTCGAAAAATGCATCATTACAAACAACTAGTTGTCTAGAAAGTTTGTTTTGGTGGGCTTCTAAACCACAGTGAATCTAATTTATGAAGCTTTTCATTTGTAGTTTTTATCTATATCTGTATACTCTTAAAGCTGTTGCTGACATTTAAGGCATACACATGTGATGATCTCCATTGCTGCTGATCTGCTGCTTTAACCTTTTCACTCAGCAAATGCTTAAAAAAAAAAAGGGCCATGATGCTGTGAGAATTTCAACAACAACAAAATTTGACATAGTTCGTTAATAAATTGTTCTAAAATGTATTTATATTTTTAACATTTTCATTTCAAAATATACAATTAAAACAAGAGCAGAGGGAAAGCATTAAATGGAATACATTTCCCGGACCTAAAACAAATATTTGTCGGGTGAGGCATGCCATGACCCTTGATCTCTATCACTGAGGCTTTTGGGAACATTTTAAGTGACCCTGGCTTTTAAAAAAAAGGCTTAAGGATTCACAAGGAAACCCCTTTAAATCTTATATTCAGTTAATTTATTTTCATCCGGGCCTCCTAAATACTACACAGGATGCACAAAGATTCAATGAAACTACATTTTTCGAAAACAGGTAACTGAAAAAATGGCAATATATCAGCATTTACCGGCTACGTCATAACTGGAAGTGACTAGATTTACCTTTTCGGGACGATAGGGTTAATGTCTATGGTATCCCATGTCATTTACATTTCCTTTTCTACTATCCATCTTTCAGGTTTCTTCAAGTCGTCCAGTCTTATTTTTCCATCTGCTGTCGATCAGAGAGCTATTCTTATTTTTGCCCAAGTGCCAGGAAGCACTCTGCAAGCATTTCTGCTTTCATTCCTGAAGTTCAGTGTGGTTTTTACGCCATAAAACTCAGTATGAATAGAAGTAAAATTCATGTGACCCATTTCTTTTTTTTTTCATTTCTACTTCGGCAAGAAATATGACATTATTCTTTATATTACTGTCCCTCCAGCTACACATTTTGTGGACTCTGACATTGGAAAACTGTTCCTAGCGTGCAATAAATAAAAGAGCTTAAAGAAACTTCTGTTGCTAAACACTATAGAGTAAGGTAATGAAACTATTCCTTCCATTAACGCTGTGAGCTGACTGAACTATGTCTACTGCTGCAAGCTGTAAACTAGTAAATGAAATTGTTACTACTGCTACATGTTGTGGCCTTAGTTAATGAAACTTTTCCTACTGCTACAAGATGTGAATTCAGTGAAATCATTTATTCATATTGCTGCACACTGTAGACTTAGCAAATAAAACTGTTACTACTAATACACATTGTGGACTTAATTAATGAAACTTCTCCTACCATTACATCTTGTGAGCTGAATGAAACTATAAATAAATAATAGGTGTAGATTTGGTAAAGTAAACTGTTACTACTGCTACACACTGCGGACTTAATTAATGAAATTGTGACTACTGCTATATGTTGTGCACTTCATTAATAAAATTGTGACTACTGCTATATGTTGTGCACTTCATTAATGAAACTGTGACTACTGCTATATGTTGTGCACTTCCTTAATGAAACTGTGACTACTACTATATGTTGTGCACTTTATTAATGAAATTGTGACTACTGCTATATGTTGTGGACATCATTAATGAAACTGTGACTACTGCTATATGTTGTGGACATCATTAATGAAATTGTGACTACTGCTATATGTTGTGGACATCATTAATGAAATTGTGACTACTGCTATTTGTTGTGGACATCATTAATTAAACTGTGACTACTGCTACACACTGTGGACTTAATTAATGAAATTGTGACTACTGCTGTATGTTGTGCACTTCATTAATAAAATTGTGACTACTGCTATATGTTGTGCACTTCATTAATGAAATTGTGACTACTGCTACACATGAAGAACTTAATAAAATTGCAACTATTGCTACATGTTTTAGACCTAGCAAATGAAACTGTTCCTATTGCTATGCGCTCTGAACTTACTAAATGAAACTGCTGCTACTTCTGTGCATTGTGAAATTGTGTAAAGCTAACTACAAGTACTGAATGATTCCATGGTGTTGTGGAGTCACCAAATCTTGAATATATCAGTTAGATCAACATATCGAATGGCACGGTGTACATAATGTTTGCAAAGAAGAGAGTGACAATAGTCTCTCTTTTTACATTTCATGATTTGAGCTTATCTCTAATGAGGTCACAGTTATGCCAATACTTGGTACATTGCTGTAGTGATGATTTACATGCACACAAGTATGGTCAAAGCGCTCTTTGGAAATTTAACGCATGCATTATATCTCATTAGACTATGATAAACATGTGGGGATGTTGTATCATGAGGTCATGGATAGTGCTTCAGTGCACATGGTAGAATGTTTTATATATAATCACTCTTGTTATCTGAATTCACATAACTCCAAAAGTATGATCAGCTGCCTCGAGTGTATGTGATTCGATGACTACTACTTCAATGATATACACACAGCCACCATCACAAACTGCACAATGTGGTGATGGCAAAAAAGCACCTAGCTGTAAGCATCCGACTGATTTTTGGGAATATCAAATATTTCTGCAAACAGCGGCGGCAAGTTGCCACGATGCCACTGCAGGCGATACCAGCGCAGAAGATCATTGTGTGTGGAGCCCAAAGTACGAAGTTCCGGCAGCTTCATGATGACTGATGCAAAGAGATTCTCCTCTGTGGAGTGATTGCGACTGACTTGCAGCTTCAGTGCCTCCACTAAACGATCCTGGATGCGTTCCACCGACTGAGAGTCCGACAACCCTTGGCGATCTGCAACACACACACACACAAACAGAGATGAATGCTTTATGTTTATGATGGGACATTAAAGTTGTATTGAGGTACGTCTTCTTCACATGTATGTATGAATGTGTGTGTGTATATATGTGCCTGAGTGTATATATATGTGTGTGTGTATATATATGTGTGTGTGAAGGCATGTACACACTTCTTCTTCTTTTCTTCTTCGTGTTCACCAGCTGTACACTCTGGCGGAAAGTTCTGGTTGCTCGTCCACTACTGAACTGCAGTCCTGCTCCAGAACCTGAGTGTTGCATGTGCATCAGTTTTACAGATCTCATTCTCTTGAATACAGACTGTTGGTTCCTTGCCTCTCCGGCAGATGCACTCCGACTTCAAAGGAAGCTCCCCAATTAGTCGACTCTTACGACATGCTTTTGGGGAGGCAGTGGGTCTATTCTTGTTTCCCCACAATGGGGCCCCGGAACCCACACAGGGAGCATGTACACACCTGTATGAATGTATGTAAATATGTGATAGTTAGAAGAAAAGGGACAGGCATGATGTTGGAGTGACCAAGTCAATGTGTGTTGCCGAGTGCTGGACAGATCATTGCCTCACTGTGTCCAAACTCAGAATTCATATCCAGCCAACCAAGCGTCCTCAGGAAAAAAAAAAATAAGTCAAAAGACTAAACACTCCCAAGCTTGAGGGGACAGAAAGTGTAAACTAACTGGACAGTATTAAAGGAGAATATTTATAACGCTGGGTCCCACCAGCAAAAAGACTGGTTCTTCTTCTTCCTCTTCTGCGTTCATCCGAAGATGTAATTGCACTGTGTCCGTTTATAGCATGGCTGCGATTTTTGCACCTTGGCCAACACATTCGACTTCTGCGGGCATGAGAACTCTGAGAAAATACAAGAGCTGCTGGCTGGGATGTTTATGTATTTCTACATTCCTTGGCGGTGGCTATCCCCCAGAAAAAGAAGCCACTGACAAGGAATGTAGGAATTTTAAAAAAAACATTGTAGTTTCCATACTCTCAAACAGTCGGGCAAGTAGCTCAACGTGGAAATAACCATGCAAGTGAGCTGTGACAACATAAGAAAAGAGTCAACGGTTAAACCATTGAAAATAAGGAATACATGACACTCCCGCAACATATGGCAGGCCTGTTACTTGCTCCATGACTGGGAAGGTAAGGAACTCTCGCCATGAGGGCAGGTTAATGATAAGTACCAAAGTTAAAATCGTTAGCTTTAATAGTGTTATATGTAGCTGCAACAAAAACCAATTTAAATTAATTTAATTTAAATATTATACTGCTCAGAATTAAATTTATTTGAAGAGCCAACTAATTGTGTAAAGAATCAGATGTTGTTACGGAAAACACAACAACAATATAACATACCTGCAGTTGCTATCACAATGGCTGTGAAGAGCCCTATCTCTGTGTCGTTCAAATTAAGCATATTAAAGCCGCTGCCAACTTCAAACATGGAGCTGACAAAGTCAGGCTGGGGATAACAAAAATCACAGATACAAGTCAGCGAATGCTATAGAGCAGTGTCTCCCAAACTTGTCTTAATCGCGGCGCCTTTTTTCAATTAATATTTCTTTCCGCGGCGCCCGAACCTAAGAAAAAATAGGACTATTCGTACGTAAGAGATTTTTAAAAAAATTATAAAACTCGTGTATCTTCGAATATTTCGCTGTGCCCCTGTGAAGAGGTCGCAGCTCCCCGGCACACAGTTTGGGAATGACTGCTATAGAGGGAAGCGTGGTGGTGTAGTGGCTGGATGATCAACTGCCAGCCAGAGGGTTTAGAGTTTGAATTCGCTGATGAAGGATTTTTAATCCAAAACTGACCCAGGTTTGAGCCAGCATGACATGGGTACCAGGTGATGTCCATGGAAGTAAAGACAGTTGGCCTGATGCTGACCACTCACCCACCGAGGGCCGATTGGTCTATAAAAATACAGGGCTAGCCCTGTATGCCGGACGCACTGAAAGCAAGAGATGGGTTACTTCACCCACACTTCTAATTACAACACATGCCCTCGGCAGCAGCAAAGAAATCAAGTAGAAAAGAATCCCACTATGAAATAAAACAAGATCAGCACTTCCATGGTTTCGCCTTTACTTTTCATCAAGTCTGTTTTCTATTTAATAATTAAAAAAAAATTTTTTTTTTTTAAAAAAGGTGTCTTTTTCAGTAGCATTGAAAACAACGTGCATAAAACTGTGTGCCGGTACTGTGTCAGGAATTAGCACCAAAATCTTTGAAATGCCATTTACCCTCTAAATACGTAAGCTTGCTCTGAGGAGGGTGTACGTATATATGTGCGTGTCTGTATGTTGGTGGGAAGGGGGGGGGGGGTGTATGTTACCATAAACAAGTGGGGGGAGGTTGGGAAAAAAGCCAAGTGTGTTCCCCATCCAATGCCAGCCTCTTACAGGAAAAAAAATGCAGTAGACAGAAAACAATCCAGTTCTGCCCATAATGAGGCACTCTTACTAACCACCTGGACCTACCGAATAAACCACAGCTAGCTCCTCCCTGGATATGGAGCTTCCATCTTCAAAGACAATGACATTCTCCTCCTTGTTGATCATCCGAGACATGCGAGTGAGCCACACCTCAAAGAAGCCTGTTTTGATGAGAATGAGTTGATCATCCTGGGAGAGGTCCGCAAAGTCTGAAACAAGCAACAGTGAGAGTGACTGAAGGAAAGAAGAAGAACTGACATCCCTGCCCATACGACATTCCCACACATGCACCACCTCCTTCCTCAGCAGCCAAGGAAAAATCTTTATCTACATTACTGCCCAAATAGGTGTATGACTCCTTGTCCTGGAGTGGGGTGCCCTCAAGAGAAACCATATTACTATTTGCCTGATTTATTCTCATTATCTTTGTCTTTCCTTTATGGATTTTCAGACCAAGCTGTAGTGATCTCGCATCAAGTATATTTAGTTTATCTTGCATCTGATTCCGTGAATGGGATAGAAGAGAAATATCATCAGTGAAGTCCAGATCATCAAGCATCAATCGTACTAGTTGCAGCCTAATTACAATCTGCCTATGTCTTCTCCTCAGAGTTTAAAATCTTCCGGAGCCTCAGCTCACCCGCTGTTGACTAAGCCTGTGAATGTATAGATTCTCCTTAAATTCAATTTACATTATTCATTTGATCCCGGAGATAAAGCCTTATTACAGGTTTTTCGAAAACAGAGCCTTATGACGAATCTTTGGACCCATCGAAGATGCAAACGGTGGTGAATAGAGAGTGAGAAGCAATAACGAAATTCATAATATGTTTAAATCACCACTGATCACTGGCATCATGAGAACTAATAGATTGAAATGGTGGGGGCATATTGAAAGAATGTCGGATGACAGATAAGTAAAAACTATATACACAAGGTAGATGAATGGTCGTAGACCACGAGGCAGACCAAGAAGATGATGGAAAGATAATATCTAGACAGACCTGCAATCACTTGGTGTCACCAACTGGCAAGAGAGGGGCAACCAGAGAGATGAATGGAGGCTGGTGATATCTGCAGCAATAAACCTCAAGGGCTCGGAATGCTACAGAAGAAGAAGATTTGATTCAAGAGAGCTTTCACCAAGTATGTTTTATCAAAAAGTAGTTCACTGCCCTGAGGAGTGGCAGCAGCCGATAGTGAAATTTACAGAACATGCAAGACTTTACTGGTGCTCTAGCCTTCTTGCAGGTCTTATCCCTGTTACCAGTTCATCATACAGGAGATCCTTTGGAATGCGACCCTCTTCCATGCGAGAGAGATGTCCTGGCCAACACAGGTGTCTTTTGCTTCAGTAGAAAGTATACTGTTGGCATTCCTGCTCTTCTGAGTACACATTCTTTGGGAACAAAGTCTCCCCATGATACACCAAGAATGCATCTCATACAGCGCTTGTGGAAAGTATTCAATCTTTTTTTCCAGACAAACATACAGAGTTCAAGTTTCACTGCCGTAAAGAAACAAGTCTGCATGCAAGTTTCATAAACTATAATTCTGGTCCAATCTGTAAGCCTTTTGTTTGACCACATCCTTGTTGTGAGTTTGGAAAGCATTGCAGAAGCCTGTTTAGTTCTGAATCTAGAGCAAGATTGTCTTCGATTCAAGAGCCCAGATATTCAAAACCAACAGCTCATGGTGGTAAAGGCTACTGTTTGGTGGGGTTTACCACATTCTTCCCCGATCACCTGCGTTTGTTGAGACTGATGGTCACAGTCCCAAATCTTTAATCAATATCATGGCGGCTGCTTTTACTTTCCAGTACTTTACCTGATACACGTTATAGGCTGGGTCAACACGGCAGAAAGGTTGTTGACACAAATCCGACTCGATGCAGATTCAAACCTGTAGCATCTTGCTGCTACACCACCATGGTTCCCACTTTCTGAAGTATCATCAGCTAATTTGTTTTTAGTTTGTTCTAACATCACAGAACTCATCTTGCTCAAACTCCAAACAATAGAAAAAATGCAGGGTAAAATAGTGTACCCTGTACAAAACAGTCAGCAATGCAAGTAGACAATAAGAATTCCTTGCCTGTTTAAAAAGACAGCAAACTTACAATTAAAACCTTTAAGGTTTAAGAATATCAAATTCCTTGCACCAGGTTTTATCATATTTGGCTCAGTCAACCCGTCTCTCTCCTCTCTCTCTCTATCTCTCTCTCTGTAGAATGGCTTGTCACACAAAGCAGGAACCACAGCTTCAGTGATAATCACCAGGGATTTCAGTAAAACTTGCATCTGTGAACCGAACGATGCAATCCCTTAAATGAACCAATGATCTTGAGAGCATGAGGCAAAAGGCTCCATTTAGCCAAGGAGACCCCGATTTTATCTGAGGGTATAAACTGCTCTCATACTTTTGCAAGTCACTTGATTTAAAATAATAATAAAAACAACTCATAACGTTCCTAGTCAGCTCTTGGACCTTTCCATGAAAACAGCCAGCTAGCTCATGGTTCCCTAAATGTTCCTAAGGTTCTTCATAGTGAGAAAATGGTCACAGTCATCAGCAGTCTACGACCCCAACTTACTGGGCACCCATTCTGAGAATTAAACTACCTCAAAAATGCAAAGACCAGCTTATGGTTCCCTATCAATTACATAGTTTTTCATGTAAAGAAACGTGCCACTGTCCCCAGCAGTCTATGACCCCCACTTATTGGGCACCCTTTCTGAGAACTAAACTACATCAAAAATGCCAAAGCCAGCTTATGGTTTCCTGTCAGTTCCTACAGTTTTTCATATTAAGAAACCTGCCACTGTCCCCAGCAGTCTATGACCCCAACTTACTGGGCACCCGTTTGGAGAACTCCACCACCCCGTGTATGGACGGGGTGATCAATGATGCCAGCTGCTGCCACATGAGGAGTTTCTGCATTTCAAGCTCTTCGTTGCTGAAGTGTAACTGACCTGCAGGTATATGGATTTTGGTCATCTGCGGAGGAAAGGAGACAGATTTTCAAGTTTCATTTACAGTACAACCTTTGCAAGCATTTGGTCGCACCAGTGCAAAATATTAACTTTATTCTATTGAACTCTTTCAGTACCAATCACTCTTTCAGTACCAATCAACTCATCACACGTTTATTGGTTACTTTATACATGGTATATAGGAACCGGGATGGTTAAGCGCCTAGATGTTCACCTGCACATCGAAAGATCATGAGTTCAGGTCCTGGTGAAGCCAGACTTGAAAAAAAAAATTACTTTGGCTCCCAAGTTGACCCAACCGTGAGTGGGTACAAGGTATAGACCTGGGAAGTAAAGGCGGTCAGCGTGATGTTGACCACATCATTCACTGAGTGCCGACTGGTCTATAAAATATAGGTCCCTATTTGTCTGAATACGAATAGGCCAGATCTCTAAGATGGACATGCATGTAAAATTCAAGTTCTGGAACAAAGACTAAAGTTTACAGCTGGTGAATTTCAAGAAGAAGAATATAAATCCGCTGGTCCTGAAAGGGTTAAGAATGAAGGGATCATGTGGAAACTGCTCATCTGGAATCTGATCATGTGGAAACTGGTCATGTGGAAACTGCTCATGTGGAAACTGCTCATCTGGAATCTGATCATGTGGAAACTGGTCATGTGGAAACTGATCATGTTTAAACTGATCAAGTGGAAACTGGTCATGTGGAAACTCACAATCCCCTGAGAATTACAAAAACTGTACCTGTGAACTGAATGACACAGCCCATGAAATGAACCTCTAATCTTTAGAGTACAAAGCAAACAGCTTAACCACTTAGCCGTAGAGACCTCCAAATGAGGCCGCACCACTGAAAACACTTTGTTTCCCAGAAATTAATACCAGCTAATGTTTGCTTAAAAAAATACACTATGACTTGTTTTCTGGGGATGTCTTATTTTTTTGCTTCTTCTTCTTCGCGTTCACCGGCTGTAAACTCAGCGGAAAATTATGGTTGTTCGTCCACTTCTGAAATCTAGTCCTGTTACAGAAACTGAGTGTTGCCTGCATATACATGTCACAGGTCTGACTCATCTGCATGCAGACTGTTGGCTCCTTGCCTCTCAGGCAGATGTACTCCAAGTTTTGAAGAAAGCTCCCAATTAGTCGACTCTTACAACATGCTTTTGGGGAAACGGTGGGCCTATTCGTGTTTTCCCCACAATGGAACCCCGGAAACCACATGAATTTTTGTTTTTTGTTTTTGTTTGTTTAATCCAGACAAAAAAATCTACACTCATGCTTTTACAAAATTCTACATTTGTTTAAATAAGGTCATGTCACCTTCTTCTGGAATATCATCATTAACTCTCTAAATCTCTAATTTTGGCCGGAATTTCTAGTGACTCCATTTCTTGTAGAACAACTGGCATCAGTTTCTCATTCTAGTTGATGATCTCAACTAGGGCTTATTTGTAGGTTAATGCTTACCTTAAAAACATCATTAAAATTGTAATAGGGCTTATTTTTGGGGTAGGTCTTATTTGGGGGGGGGGTCTTATTTTGGAGGGTAAGCCTTATTTTAAGGGTAGATCTTATTGGGGATAGGTTCTATTTTGAAGGAAGGTCTTCTTATGGGGGTTGGGGGGGATGTCTTATTTTAAGAGGCAGGTCTTATTTTGGATAAACACTATTAACTTTATATTTGATAACACTTTATATACTCAACACTCTACAATATTTTATATCTGACCACCGAAAGGTCAAGAGTCAAGAACAGCTTCCAAGAAAACAAACACAAGTTCACAGGAAGCCCACATTCACTTACCAGTGTCGCTGGGTGTTGGACAATGTTTTTGACCTTATCCTCTGTGATGGCACAATGAGCATGATGGGCTTGAGAAATGCAGAGAATGATGTCATAGATGGCCAGCTGCTTGCTCTCCAAGGCAGACTGGTCAAGACTAGAATCACTGGACGTTACACTCTGATCCTCCTGGCTTTTGGACCTTTTAGGGACTCTGCCGTACCTCACAGCTGTCAAATTCAAACTCAAATGTTATCAACATTGCACTGCAGTTCGTTTTCCATGCAGGACTGTGGTCCGCAGGGTCAACACCTCAAGGAACCCACATGTTCAAATCCTGGTGAGCCCCGTGGAACCATAAAGTTATGTCCCCCCCCCCCCCCCAACCCCGACAGTTATGAAGTAACCTGAAGTCCAGACCAGGCAGGGATATTTTAACAACACAAGGTCTGAAACCCGTTCTTCTTCGTGTTGACCTGCTGTAAATTCTGACAGAAAATTCTAGTTGTTTGTCCAGTTCTGGACTTCGGCCTTGTTCCAGAACCTGAGTGTTGCATGCACATCCATTTTACAGATCTAGTTTGTTTGTACACAGACTTGTTTCCTTGCCTCTCAGACAGATGCACTTCCACAAAATGTTTGTCGAAGGGGGAGGATTAGTGGATCTATACTCCTCCCCCCCCCCCCCCCCATACTGGATAAAAATAACAGTGAAACCCACACAAACAAAGACAAATAAGATCTATATCACAACATGTCTTTACTGCCTATGTTTACAGCTGTTTAGCATGGTGTAGGACAGGGGAGAGGGTTCTTGAGCCTGAGGACTTACGGTCGCAAGGCTAGTGCAGACGCCATTAACTTTTGAGGTCATAGTCTATCATTGCTACATGTCATTACCAAGACATAATTCACTGCTATTTGTCATTAACAAGACCTCATTCACTGCTATATGCGATTAACAAGACCTCATTCACTTCTATATGTCATTAACAAGACCTCCCTCACTGCTATATGTCATTAACAAAACCTCACTTACTGCTATATGTCATTAACAAAACCTCACTCACTGCTATATGTCTACAAGACCTCCCTCACTGCTATATGTCATTAACAAAACCTCACTCACTGCTATATGTCATTAACAAGACCTCCCTCACTGCTATATGTCATTAACAAAACCTCCCTCACTGCTATATGTCATTAACAAAACCTCACTCACTGCTATATGTCATTAACAAAACCTCCCTTACTGCTATATGTCATTAACAAAACCTCACTCACTGCTATATGTCATTAACAAAACCTCACTCACTGCTATATGTCATTAACAAAACCTCACTCACTGCTATATGTACTTAACAAAACCTCACTCACTGCTATATGTCATTAACAAAACCTCACTCACTGCTATATGTCATTAACAAAACCTCACTCACTGCTATATGTCATTAACAAGACCTCACTCACTGCTATATGTCATTAACAAAACCTCACTCACTGCTATATGTCATTAACAAGACCTCCCTCACTGCTATATGTCATTAACAAAACCTCCCTCACTGCTATATGTCATTAACAAAACCTCACTCACTGCTATATGTCATTAACAAAACCTCACTCACTGCTATATGTCATTAACAAGACCTCCCTCACTGCTATATGTCATTAACAAACCTCACTCACTGCTATATGTCATTAACAAAGACCTCACTCACATTAACAAGACCTCACTATGCTATATGTCATTAACAAAACCTCACTCACTGCTATATGTCATTAACAAGACCTCACTCACTGCTATTTGTCATTAACAAGACCTCACTCACTGCCATATATCATTAACAAAATTTCACTCACTGCTATATGTCACTAACAAGACCTCACTCAATGCTATATGTCATTAACAAGACCTCACTCACTGCTATATGTCATTAACAAGACCTCCCTCACTGCTATGTCATTAACAAGACCTCACTCACTGCTATATGTCATTAACAAGACCTCACTCACTGCTATATGTCATTAACAAAACCTCACTCACTGCTATATGTCATTAACAATTCCTCACTCACTGCTATATGTCATTAACAAGACCTCACTCACTGCTATATGTCATTAACAAAACTTCACTCACTGCTATATGTCATTAACAAGACCTCACTCACTGCTATGTCATTAACAAGACCTCACTCACTGCTATATGTCATTAACAAGACCTCACTCACTGCTATATGTCATTAACAATTCCTCACTCACTGCTTTATGTCATTAACAAGACCTCACTCACTGCTATATGTCATTAACAAGACCTCACTCACTGCTATATGTCATTAACAAGACCTCACTCACTGCTATATGTCATTAACAAGACCTCACTCACTGCTATATGTCATTAACAAGACCTCACTCTGGGCTAGCATTTCTGCAAAATCATCACTATGTCCCTGTGCTTCTGCTGGAAACAGGGTTGCTAACTGTGTCATGCTGTGTCACAGTCTAGTACTGCTCCCACAGGGCTCGCAGTTTATTCCTCCATTATGTTCTCTCTCACACACACACATATACATATGTACGCACGCACACGGGTTGTACTTTACAACTGTCAAGAACCTTCTTTTGTTGCCTTTTTCTATTTCTATTCCCATAAATGTACCTCCTGTCAACATATTCCAGCTTGATTTCTTTACTCTTATGTCACCAAACATGATATAACTTTTTCTGATATTTCTTTGTCTTAGTAAGAGAACATGCTTCTAAATTATTATCCTGATTAACAATAGGTTTGAGGATTGAGCAACGGATCAACATCATGGCACAAGGGTAGTAACCCATAAGTGCTCCGTTCTTCTTCTAACTCAAGTCTGAGTCCAAAGAAGCTCAGCTCAGTGCACAGGCTCTGTAGCACAGTCTAGGATCCTGAAATACTTTGGAAAGATTTGTAACCCAAATTTGTGCCCGGGCAGCGCCGTTAGGCTACTCTTTTCAATTTCCAACTGCCAAGGGATTTTCTTTACATGTGCAACAATGCACACGGGTGTCAAATCGTACTACCCAGAGACCAGGGGGAATTACTAGAAGTCCAAGTCCACGTGAAAAAATCCCAGCCCTTACCGGGGATTGAACCCAGAACCTCTAGCACTCAAGGTGGACACCATGCCTCAAGTGATAAATGTAATGACAATGGCTTCAGGTTTAAATTCAAGAGGACTAACTTCTCTACTAGGTTTTATTCAATATAGCTCAATCTCTCTCTGCAGAACCATGAGCCACCTGCCAAAAGTCCCACACAAAGCATGCACTACACAGTTCCTTTGATGGTCCTCAGGGATGTCAGTAAATACTGCACTTGTGAGCCAAACAAAGTAGTCCCAGAATGAACCTTCACAGTGGTAATACAAACGACTGAAAGCATTTAGCCATGGAGACACTCAAAGGAAATGACAAGAAAAAAAAAACTTCTAATAAAATAACATCTCCTGATAAGTAAGGAATAAACTTACAGTCCCTGGACATGCCTACGGCTAGGCATTTCTTGAACCTGCAGTACTGGCACCGATTTCTGTTCAGCCGTATAACCATACACTTCCCATCTCGTATGCACCGATACTCAATCTGCTTCTGAATGCTGCGTCTGAAGAAACCCTGGTGATGATCACAACACAAGAGTTAAACTAAAGGTCGGCGAGGCCTATACTATACAACAGGAGTCAAGTACAGTAAGAAAAGAAACTTTTTCATGACACTGAGGTGTCAGGTATTTGATGCCAGTCTTCTATTTTGTGTAGACCAATCAGCATTTGATAGGTGATGTGTTCAACATCCCGACTGTCGCCTTTACTTCCCAAGACTCACTTGGTCGACCTGGGAGCGAGTGTCAATTTTGGATCAAACCCAAGACTCACAAGCGAGTATCTAGCAGGAGTCAAAGGCTAAAAGAAGAAGATAATCCCACAGATAAAACACGGGCACTGGTATAATACTGATTGAATAAACTACCCTTCAAGTGTTGTTCTAGAGACCATAAAACTTGGTACATAACACCAACAAGTGCAGTGCCATGTTATCTAAAGAAAATAATGATTAATTCTAAGACCTCCATGGCGAGATGTAAAGTGTAACAAGAAACAACCCTATTTAGTCAACTTTTATGATGTGCTGGATAGTGGGACAGTGGGTTTATTCTTTTTTCCCCACAATAGGGTCCCGAACCCACACAGGAAAAGAGAAGATAGGATTTGTGATTTTCTATGTAGACAATTCATGTTTTGTCCTTCACACTGTGCCTGTCCATACTGTCGGTCAGTACATTCATTACAGTTGCAGATTAGACTTTGGTGTGTTAATGTGTGAATAATTTGCAACATTAGTTATCATTTTCTTTAGATCTGAGTTTTTCTTGAAATATTTCTTTCAATAGTTAGGGTGCGTCTTATACGTGGCAAAGTCTTATACACTAACAAATATGGTAAATCAAAAACAATAAGCCCGAATTGTGTGGTGTGTAAATGTGTATTGGAAATCAGGATGGCTACTGTCAAAGTGGAATGAAGAATGACTTTTAAAAAAAAAAGCTGTAAGGAAGCTTGGCAACATGAAAAACTCATAGACAGGAAGTGATGAAGCAACCAAAAAAGGAGATTAATTAATCACAAAAGTGAATATTCCATAGTAAATCTTCATGACAGAAACATGGAGGAGCAGGGATGGATGGAGAGCAACTACTGTTAAATCTCTCCATTTTATTTTCAATTCAATTCCACATTTTTGTTAATCATTCTCTGATAATGACATGTCCAATTTTGTTTTCTGTGTGGCTTCCCTTCTGCAAAGCTTCCTGTTTGCCTTCTTTGTTTATTCAGTTAATGTTGTTAATAAATTTAGCCAAAGCTAAGTTATTTTTAATCTATCTCTCTTTCCTTTAGTTGTATCATTGTTCAGTTTTTGTATGCTAGTGAAAGTTTTCTTCCTTGTATGAACTCCTATGCCTCAGTTTGGAGGAAAACCGAGTAGATCCACTAACCTCTAACAAGCATGTTGTAAAAAGTGACTAATTATAGGCTTGTGGTGCTGTCAGCACCATACTGGGCTGAAAAGTGCAGATATGGCAGCCTAGTTATAAGAACCCAAAAATAACAATGCGCTGGCAGTCATTTCATTTAATGATGATGATGGTGGTGGTGATGAAAGAGGAGGAGGAGGAAAAGAACAACAACAACAAAAGGGAGGCACAGGAAGATAAGATTTGATAGCTACAACCATTTATTTTGATTTCATTATTATGTTTTACTGCAAAGATGCTGCTCATTTGGGTTGATTTTTTAATGGCATAAATGAGCTGATTGTTACTTACTGTACTGGCATTTGGTTAAAAAAAAAAGACAATAAAAATTTTTTATTTCTTCTTCTTGGTGTTCACTGCCTGTAAATACTGGTGGAAAGTTCTAGTTATTCATTCACTTCTGGACTTTATGTCTCAATCCTTGAGTTTTGCTTGCAGATCATTTTACAGACCTGGCTTACATACATGCAGACAGCTGGTTCCTCGCCTCTCAGGCAGATGCACTCTGACATAAAAAGGAAACACCCCTAATTAGTAGGCTTTTACGACATGTTTGTTAGGAAAGCAGTTAGTTAGTCTTTCCTCCTGAGCCGAGGGCGGCGCATAGAGCAGAAGTCATAGCTCTGCATGTCTGGCTGTTTGTTGCCATATATTTTAGGTCTTGGATGTTCATTAGTTCATTGGGCCCATACTTGTGTCTTCTCTGACTATGGTTCTATGCAGGATCTCTCTTGGTCCTCCCAGTTTTCTTGTACCTTCCAGAGAGCAGTGGGGTCTATTATTTCCCCCGGACGATGGGATCCCAGAACCCACACAGGGACTTTCTTATTTGATGTCATCAACACTTTCAGTCCCCTACCAGTAATGACTTTAACTCATACTATCCCTAGTTTCGAAAGACTGCCACTGTAGATCATATACGGTTAAAATAATACTACAGGACCAAATACATTAGGTTAACAATTCTTCTTCTTCTTCTGCAATCACCATTAAAAGACTGGTTGGCACATCATGCTGTTGTTTGCAGCTAAGCTGTTTAGAAAAAAAAGGGTTAATGTTGAGAGGATCGACTTCACTGCACCCGGTTTTATGCTGTATGGCTTTGTGTCTCTCTGCAGATCAGCTGACCGCAGGCCGAGAGTGCAGAACAAAGCATGAACTCGGTGTCGCTCCTCGTGACAAGTGTGATGTCGACTGGCCTATTGTGGACTGTGATCTTCAACAGCATGTACCAGTTCGTGTGTTGACACCCTCCATGATGTGAGAAAAGAGTGTCTACAATCCTCTAACATTGTCTTCCTCTGTCTCTTTTTCCACAGATCTTACCAGTGGTCAAAACACATGTTTCAGTTACCTTCTCATATTTTCTTCATATATTCAATTAGTTAATGTAGAAAATGTCTGTGACAGAGGACAGTCAGAAAAGCTGACTTTCCTGGACTACTTAATGTGGTGAGTTTCCTTGTCACAGAGTTAAGGTATAGGCTAATCCATAAGTTTTCATACACAGGAAAAGCCATTATAAGGATAACTCCAGCTGTGCTTATACAAATTCTTTAGCAGTGGAGGGCACACACTGACATGTGTTTTCAAAACAATGGTATTTTTCCTATGTGTGAAAACTGATAGGACACCTTGTATTCATTACAGGTAATAAGTTCAGCTTTCACCTTGCAGCCCTCACAAGAAGTCACTCCGTAATGGTACCCTGAGGCTCTGTCCCCACACACTTTACATGGCACATAGGCTTGTTTGGGGCTGTTGGAATCTGCCACCTGCTGAACAGAATCTTCATCTGAAATCAAAATATTTCTCAATATTAACAGTGACACGATAAATCTTAATAATACCAAATCACCTCTTATTTCTTCTTCTGATTCACTTTTAGAAGGGCAGTTGGAAATTGTGTTGTTCATACATGATAACATATTATCTGTGGCATCATTGTACCAGCAGACTCGTCATCACTCCATTTGTAAAGCCAATTGCCCGGGCAGCTCTGCTGACAACTCAGTTATAAGTAGGCAATGGTTCTACATGGGATTACAGAATTTGGATACTCATGAAACCAATCCTTCTGAGAACACAAAAGTTTGGGTCCTTAGAGGAACCATCATCACCTAGGACAAGAGTTTGGGTCCTTAGAGGAACCATCATCACCTAGGACAAGAGTTTGGGTCCTTAGAGGAACCTTCATCACCTAGGACAAGAGTTTGGGTCCTTAGAGGAACCATCATCACCTAGCACAAGAGTTTAGGTCCTTAGAGTAACCATCGTCACCTAGGACAAGAGTTTGGGTCCTTAGAGGAACTATCATCACCTAGGACAAGAGTTTGGGTCCTCAGAGTAACCATCGTCACCTAGGACAAGAGTTTGGGTCCTTAGAGGAACCATTATCACCTAGCACAAGAGTTTGGGTCCTCACTAAGCCTTGTCCCCAGCACATGAGTCAAGACCTTAGCGGGACTGCCTAAATCTGAGCCCTTTAACCATCTCATCCAGATCACCTCATCTAAGCAGAACTCCATCATCATAAATATATCATTTATTATCTCAACTAGACCATTCTATACAAGTAGCACACCCCAAAAAACTCCATCTACATCATTCCTTGTTGCTCAATCCAGATTTTGTTTCAGAAAGACAGCAATAATTTAAAAAAAAAAATTTGATCTGTACTCTATTCAACATCAAAAACAGATTTCAGTACCTTCCACACTTACAACATTCACAATTTTGAAACAATAAGATCAGTGTAATGCTGTGTTGCATTGATGATGGCCGTGGTTCTTGGCCAGTGTCCTCTGTGGGCAGTATGGATCATTAACAGGACTGAAACTCATCAGGACCACATAAGAGGAGACAAGGAAAAACAACCCAGACATAAAAAACAATGATACCTAACATAACTATAACTCAGGAAGTATGATCAGCAAGATGTGCATACAAAAAAAGGATCAACACAGGCAGGGATGAACAACACCCACACAGGGAAATTAGGCCATCAAATGTGTGGCACAAATCAAGCTCAGCCAATAATATTGACACAAAAGGTTACAAGTGATTACATTTTGGGTTTTAAATAATTTTAGCTGACTTTTCTTGATTATTGCCGCAGCACCCCTGGCAGACGCTCGCGGCCACCCAGGGTCACTTCGGTATCCAGTTTGAGAACCACTGCGTTAACACATAGTTAGCCCAACTTGGTGACGTCAGCAGCACATCCCGTCTACTGAAGCTGGTTGTGGTTGTTCATTAGTTGCCATTCAAAACATGCGTACTGTGGAGGGGAGGGAGCAGGGGTCTGTCCCCCCCCCCCTCCAGTACTGTGGAGGGGAGGGAGCAGGGGTCTGTCCCCCCCCCCCCTCCAGTACTGTGGAGGGGAGGGAGCAGGGGTCTGTCCCCCCCCCCCCCTCCAGTACTGTGGAGGGGAGGGAGCAGGGGTCTGTCCCCCCCCCCTCCAGTACTGTGGAGGGAGCAGGGGTCTGTCCCCCCCCCCTCCAGTACTGTGGAGGGGGGGGGGAGCAGGGGTCTGTCCCCCCTCCCCCTCCAGTACTGTGGAGGGGAGGGAGCAGGGGTCTGTCCCCCCCCCCCCCCCACTCAAGGCAGGGCTCGGAATCCAAACGGAGACATTAACAAAACCATAGGTTCAAAGGGGCGTTCAACTCTTTCAGTAGCAGATATGTCACGGTACATTCACTGGTTATTCTTTATGTGGTACACATTTCTTTTTCTTGCTGTCTCTCCTTTTCTTCTTAGCGCTCATCCGCTGTTAACTCGGGCAAGAAGTTTTGGTTATCTACTTCCTGCCCCCGTGAGCAAAGCCAAAATCCAAATGAGCGAACAAGCATTACTTTCCGCCGGAGCTTACAGTAGTTAAACAAAGAAGACGAATGTTACCATGGAAGGTGCACTCACATTCCTCCAAACATTAATCTCCTCAAGTGGCCCTTTCTCCTTCTACTTCTATGTGCCATGTCACCATCTTAATGAGTTGAGTTGAGTTGAGTTGAAAATTGACATCACAGCATTCGAGGCATTCCCATGCATGCTCCGTCCTCATCATTAGTAGCCAGCGCAGAGTTCCAATACTGATGGTGCTGGTCACAATCTGGTTATATGTCTGTCTTGCCTTTCGTCTGAGTGTAGTGAGCGGGCCAGACCCTCTGGTTACACCCAGGTGCCTCATTCTCTCCTGGCCATAATAATCTTCTCTCTCCACTAATTCCGTTGCTTGTTCCGAAAGTGCTTTGACCACACTGGCCTTATTATGTATCAATTCACCACCCAGTGGTACAAATCCAGCAGATCCATTTTAATGAAGGTGCAGTAAATACAATGCTTTTATATATATATATATACACACACACACACACACACACACACATATATATATATATATTGGTGTGTAATCAAATATGATCCTCATGTGTTACCAAATGTACTGTGAATTCAGGAAACACTCGTTTTGAGATTCGAGTTTGTTTGACCCTGGAATTTATAACTTTAGTTTCCATTGTTTTCAATGGGGAGAAAAATAACCTTTAAACTAGTAAGATTTGGAATTCGAACGTCGTCGTCTCGGAACGGATACTGTTCGAATTCCGTGGTGCCACTGTAACTGTACTGTTTTCTAAAAACTGTAATCCTAATTTAAACAACGCAGACACAAACACACTGCACGGTTTATTGCACGGCATATTTAGTGTAACTCGGAGGTGCATCACTACAGAATTAAATCAACACACTATGAAGCAAATAAAAACATTTTCACTATAACAAAACAAAAATAATAACAATAATTAGCGTTTCTTCTTCTACGTCATTTTCTGCATTATATCTAAAATGTTTTGTTTTGTTGCCTCAAAGCTGAGTTGTGTTCAGTTAAGGACTGAAATCAAAGACATTCCCACAGGCGCACCGTCCCCATCTTCGGCAGCAGCCTGTGTTCCAACTCCGAGGCTACCACTAGAAGTCTCATTGTATGTCTGCCTTGACCTTCCTCTACACCATTCTCTTCAGACTGTGATGATCTAAATGTACCTCCGCATTGTTCATTCGCTCCCATAATCTAGCTTATCCGGCATCAATGTAATAACGAGAGGGACATGACCAGGCAGTCTCGCTGTTATTTTCACAACACACCTGTATTCCCTGGATAAAGTATATAAAGGATGCTTGCTAACTACTCTGGACTTTGATGCGATGCTTGCCACTCTGCAGGAAACATGCTTTTCTCCCCAGCAATGGCTTTTTCCTCTCAGCGCATACCGACTGTAAACTCTGGCGAAAAGTTCTGGTTGTCCGTCCACTACTGGACTTTTGTCTTGTTCAAATTCTTGGGTTTGCGTACATATCCGTCCTACAGATCTGACCTGTTTGTACGCGGACGGTTCCTCGCCTCTCATGCAGATGCACTCAGACTTCCAATTAGTCGCCTCCTACGACATGCTAGTTAGGGGGGCAATGGACCTGCCTACCTCCACCCCAAATGGGGCCCTCTGACCCCTACACGTGCATTAAACAATTACTGGGACTTTTGAAGAAAACAAATGCAAGTCACGGGATACTATTCCCTGTATCAATGTATATAATAACAACATCTATACAAGATAGTGACTTATTTGTCTCTAATATGTCGCATGGCTATTAACCTCCGCTCATTTTGTAACAAACAATAATATTTGTTAATATTCGGCCCTGAGGCTTTTCTGTCATCCGTATCCGAACGCGTCTTCCAAGAAAGGTCAAGGCCCTCTATAACTTAATGATTTTGTCAATCTTTCTACTCAATCCAGGCACATTTATTCCCCACCCCATCCCCACACCTCAAAGTCGCGTACAACAACAAAAACTTTCCTAGAGGAATAAAATACCACCATGGGTTCAATGTCCTGCCGCTGGGGCTCTGTCTGGGGTAGGGTCCCAGTTTGCTTGTTTATGTGAGAGGGAGGAGGGAGTGAGGGAGTGGACTCTCGCCGAGTATGTACGACCGACCGACGGCAGAACGGAACAACAGCCGGGGGAAATTCTGAAGCGCGGGCAGGGAGGTTGTCAATCATGAAGTATCAAGATCAAGAGAACAAGCCGGAGCGTATGCGCGTGCCCACACACAGAAACAGTAGAGATTCCCCACTCCACCTCACACACAAAAACCTGTAAGGTCGCATTAGTATTACGCAATTTATTAACACTATTCCCTTCTTTTAGGCTCATCAACATGCAGGTAGTGAATTCATATTTGGACAGCCTAAATTTTAAACCAAGCATATCTCTCTCTTTCTGTCTCACGCACACACACAAACAGTGTGTGTGTGTGTGTTGGTAGAGATCTTACTGTGAAGACAAGTTAATATTAAGCAATTCACAAACATTACCCAACCACGCCCGTTCCCTGCCCTTCCTGGTTAAAATCATAACAGATTAACTGAAATTTAGAAACAGTCTTACAATTAAAACCCTCACCCCCCCCCCCACCCCAATGGGGGATCTCCTACCGCGCACGCATAATATATACCATTACGCACGGATAGAGAGGTAGTAGAAAACCCACAGACCAAAAAAAAAAAAAAAAAAACCATGAAGAAAAGTTGATATTGCGCAGTATTACATTCTTGCTAGAAAAAAATGAACAGATTAATTCAAATTTGGCAGCCTAACAGCCTAAACCACCACCCCACACCCCCCCCCCCCCCCAACCTACTGGTATTACTCAGTTCCTTATAACTATTATAACTATATGCCCATCTTGTTAGAATTAGACTAGAAGTGAGATCTGGAAACCACCACACCCTAAAAGTGCACATTGGAAATTTTACGAGAAAAAAGGATCTGAAATGCTGCTTTCGTCAAGGACAGCTTTTCTCGCGTTGTAGTTGGTAGACGTTCGGCTGCGGATGCGAGGGTCTTGGGTTCTGGTCCTGGCGGA